GGCATGGGTGCAATCCTGGGCAAGCTCCCACTCCCAGGGATAGCAGGACATCCCGAACATGGCCTCCAAGCTAGCACATAGGCTTTGATGGTATGGAGACCTGTCATCCTCGCCTTGCAGAGGGGGGGCTGGGCTTCACCCACTGTATCCCCAGGGATAACTGACCACCTCTCTTGTTTCTCCACAGCCGCACCAGCTGGGAGTGCAGGGCATACCACCCCACCCAGGACATCCTCCTGCACCCAAGCACTCAGCAGGCTGACCCGTAATCAGGAGGGTACCAGCTGCAGCACCTGGGGATACTGCGAGGCCTGCACCGCACTCTGGACTACTGGGTGCACAAAGACCTGCTGCTCTGATGGGAGAGCGGATGGGAGCTGCTTGCCCAGGGCCATGCCATCTGCGACCACCTGCAAACCCTGGTGCACAGATTACTGCCTCCTGCCGCTCCAGCCCCTGCTGCCTCCCCAGCTACAGCTCCTCCTCCCATTCCTGGTCCCCCTCCCGCTTCTTCCTTCCCCCCCCTTGGTGTCCTTCCCCCCCACAGTGAGGACACCAAGGCCCCTGCACTCGTTGTGCTGGGAGACAGGTGGGCTGGCAAGCCCCCAACCCTGAGCTTCTCTTTCACTTTCCTCCCTTTGCCTCCCCCTTCCAGTTCCCTCCGCCCAGGTTTACCCCTCCCCTCTCCCACCCTCTCTCCTCCCCTCTCCCGCCTTCATCACCCCCCCCCCCACCACCACACTCCAGTTTTGTTCAATAAAGAGAGTTTGTTTTCTTCAACACGTGTGTCTTTACTGTACATCAGGAAGGGGGGTTAGGAAGGGGTAAGTGGAAGGACATCAGGGTGGAATGAGGCGCAAACCCCTAGTGGGGGGCTTTGCTGTCCCTCAGTGAGGTAGGCAAGCAAGCAGGGAAACTTGAGAACTGGCTGTCTGGGGGGTTCCTTTAACCACAGGCCTCAGATAGCCTCAGGCAGCAGTCACACAAGGTAACTCCTGACCCGATGTCCTGCCAGAGCCAGTTCTGGCTAGCCTTAAATGCAATTCAGCGTCCAATCAGTGTGGACACGCTATTTCAAAATAGCAAAACTCTATTTCAAAATGCATTTTGCATGTAGATGCGTTATTTTAAAATAAGCTATTTCGAAATAATGCTGTAGTCTAGACATACCCCTAGATAAAATTTCTGTATCTCCACTATAAGTAACTATAAACTCCAACAAGAGATAAAGCCAATAGAGCCAAACAATAAAAAATATTGAATAGAAGAAGAATCTTGGAAAGGCATATATTCTGCAATATGACAATGATGTATAGTATATATCAAAACTTGCACAAACTCTTCTGACGAAATGGTAATCAAGTGATTTGTGCCTTGGGCATCACAATCACTTGATTTAAATCCAATAGCAAAAACCTGGAGTCAACTAAAGAAAGCAATAGGTAAGGCAGCTAACACACTGTGGGCACCTGGAAGGAGATATCATTCATTTGCAATGATTTTTGGGGAAAATAAAAGCTTTTAGAAGAAAGAAGAAGCAGTGAACAAAATGACTTCACAATTTCTTTAAGAAACAAATTCTTAAAATGTGTGGGAGACAGGTGCTCAGTTACACATCTGTTTTAGAATTCCAGTTAAACTTCTAATTAAATAAGGTCATTGCTTTTCAGTATATGCAAATTGTGTGTGTTGAACACCTTTAATATGGAGGCATCGTTACTGATTGGAGCTTTTAAGATAAATATTAAATGAAAATAAAATATAGCATTTTTTTAGTTTTCATTTTTAGCTATACATCTAAAAATTATTGTGTAAGTGAATGTATATATGAATCTTTATTTATTTTTCCTTACCATAAATTTAAGTATTATTCCACAATCATTATGATAGGAAGTTGAAATACTGAGCAAATCAAAAGGGGTTGATGTGACCAGGCCTAAACGCATTGGTGTCAGTGGGAGTTCTGTCCTATAGAAGTATTTTTACTAAATGAATCACAGTGATATCTTACATTTATGCCAGAGCTTATGCTTGACCCAGTATCTGAAATACAGATTTCAAATGAAGGCATCAATGCTGCAAACATGAATGTGTCTAAGTAACTTCCATATGTAAGTACATTAATTGATTACAATAAGTTTGCTCAAAAGTGTAAATATTTGCAGGATCAGAGCCTAAGAGTACTGCTGGTCTCCTATTCCTGTCCAGAACGAATTTACTGCTTTTGTATCTTCTTATCATCTATGTTTTAGGAACGCAAGTCTTGTGATAAGTAAAATTATGCAGTCAAGCCAGATTTTTTCCTTACCTTTTTAATGGTGATTTTTGTTAAACTCTTAGAGGTTAGGGGAAAAACACCCTACAGAACATATTAATTTCCTCCCATATACTGTAGCTATTTTTATAAGATACTTTTGGCATACATTCTACGTATATAACAAAACCATAAACATATATGATTATGAAATATAAAGGTAAATTTTAACCTGAATTCTGGTCACTGAGTACAGGGAAACCTTTTTAATTATTTATATTAGTTTAACAATATCATTAAACTGGTAACCCAGATTGTCATAAGACATATTTGATGTTACTGGTGGAGTTTCTAATTGTTGGTGGCTTTTTCCTGTTATACTTACCCTCGCACAGCCCTTTTAATGGACATACAATATGTTACTCCATACCCAAGCTCACCTACTCTTTCTTTTCTCAAAAGACAAGGCACATCTGCCACCTGCTCTAGTCTGTGTCCCAGCAACAACTGTCGAGCAGCAACAAGATTGATTATCAGTCAAAAACCATTGCACAACACCAGATTTTGGTAGGTTAAGCTTGCTGATCCAGCAAGGGATGGTGTGAAATTTTCGTAATGTGTGCCAACATTTTGGTGCTAAAAGAACAGCAGTGCATGTCACAATGAAACACAGCCAAAGATATGCAGACAAAGCACAGAAGTTTTTGTTTTGAATTTAGCTTGAGAAAGAAAATTGCTTAATGAATTTGAAAACCCACTCTTAACAAGTTATGTGCAAGGAAAAACTATAATAAAAGTACTAAGGCCCTGAACATTTTATAACAAACTATAACAATGGCTATATAAAAATATTATATAGCTTTTTTCAGTGCCTCCTATGATACGAGACAAAACAGCGTTTACTTAATATTATTGTTTTTATTTACTGAAATAATAAAAACCTTCAAATTAAATCTTAAAGTGAATTGGTTCAACTATGCTATACGTATAAATTAGAGAAAATATTACTATTTGTGTCTCCCTTACTGTATGCATAGACTATTGTTTAAATGAACTGTAGTCAATGGAGTCAGAGTGATTTTCATTTTATCTTTAACACGTATCATGTGAATAATTGATGAAGTAGGAGATAAGTATATTGTATGATCATAAATATAGTTTATGAAGTTTTTATGGAAGCAAGATATGAATGTATTTATATGATATGGCTCAGTTGGTGGAAGTCACTATTAGCTCCATGGAAATCTAATAAAGACATATTTAGGGCAAGTGCAGATATTCATTGACATTTTTTATACTTATCACTATAAGAAAGAATAAAACAACAGAAAAACAAAAACAGAGAACTACCACTTCTAGGTCAGCAACAACTTTCTGTAAAAATTACAAGCTATTGAGTCCTCACATTTTTCATTTGGTAGTAAAAAATCTGTGCTAGAAACTACTCTCAAGGTAACAAAAGTAATTTAAAAATATATTAGGAAAAATAAACCATGGGTGCTTTAAAAAAGAGAAGAAGAAAACAATCATAAATATACAAGGAAAGGCTAAAATTATCATTAAAGTAAAGAAATATAAAATATACACTTTAGTTAAATGCTTTTTGTAAATGTATTTATCCCAAGATCATTGTTAAATGCACTGCATTATACTTTTAGACACCACAAGACTATGCCAGCTGTAAAATCCTTAAAAAAAAAAGTATTTTATAATCCAAAAAATGCATTTCATTTTTGTCTCTTGTTAGAATGGTACTCTGGTAACACAATTTGATCCTTAACAAATATAAAATTTCCCAATCTGTCGCCTGGCTTTTTGTAAGAATAAAAATTAGCTAGCTAAATTATAACTATCATTATTAGCTTATCATAACTTCCAGCTGTTTTGATGATTTAATGGAAAGTATTTAGTATGAAGTATTGTGACTTTGATACAGAGAGCTATGTAAGTTAATTCTGTAAAACTTCATCAAAATTAATTGTATAAATCCCAGAATGTACTCTATCACCTTAAAAATGACAAGAACAATATTTACATCCAAATTTCAAAAGTGAGTGAGTCAGAAATTATATTGTGTGTGTGTACAAATATCCTTTGATGATTGTACTGAAAAAGGGATGAAATAGAGGGGGGGCATTTTAATGTTTGCAAGGACCAATTTTAAAAAAATAAAATATTCACATTTGAATGTGTACATGTCAAGGTAAATGCTCTACCTTGTTGTATAAACATCCTAATAATTATTTTAATGATTTTTCATATAGGTCAAATGACTAAATTAATAAATGCAGGCTGAAATGCTGAACTATTTTCTTCCTAGTGTAATAAGTCTAATGAATTGTGTCTGTTAGGTGTCACTGAAACTAAGGAATAAATTCAATAATCTCTGATTTAATTTATTATATTTTCACCATTTAACCTCCTGCAGGCTCCCTAATGTCTGTTCAGATCTATATTAAATTAAGCACCAATGCTAATGAAGGGCAATAAACATGGCTGTCAGTAGATTTTGCTTTCATTAAGCACATTATCCTCTTACTGAGCTCTAAATGAGTAAACATTAGTTTTGTTAAACCATGCAAAAAGACAGGATGAAAATCATTTTTAATTGCATCCCTGAAGACATGTACTATTTGTTTTTTTACCTTTAATTTTTTTGAATGGATTTAAAAAGGGTTCTCCAGTTGAAATATAAATGTCGGCATCATGGGGTATATCTTTAGGTTCTAGTGCTTCAGTGCCGTCTGCCAAGAACACTCGTCGTGCAGCCATGTTCAGATTCAGCTTTTCAGTGCACTCCTCCAGCAGCTAAATGAAAGCAAGAGGTAAGGAATATTGATTACAAAACAAAATATATTCACAACATGACCAACATTTAGTGAAAGAATCAGGACAAAAATTAGAAATCCAAGCTCAAATGACTTCCTAACCCATAGTAACTGCACTGTAACTAACTTGTTTGTTTGTTGTTTTTTTTTTTTGTTTTTTTTTTTGTAATCTTTGCTGGCAGTTAACTGATAAAATGATGGTGGAAAACAGTAGAGAATATAACATTACACAGAATATTCAAAAATTATTATTCTTTATTTTCAGTCTCAAATAATATTTTAATTTGTTATGAATGAACTCAACATTTTATGATCTGTAGATCCTATTTAATTGAACTGTATTTATATTGTAGTATATGTTAATTATTCACTAATTGTATGTGTATGATATATGTATATTATACATATGCTAGAAAGGAAGAACTTAAATATTAGCTCATTTTAAAATAAAAGACTTTTCCTTTTATCTGATGGTATAAAGTTAAATAAAGTTAATGTATGTAAGAAAACTTTGTATTAGTATTTACCAGTTTAATGGATGGTACAGCAACTTTTGAAAAGATACTTCTTGTGCCATTCTTGTAAGCTGTTACTTTGATTATCCCTGGTTGGCATTTAATAACTTGGAGCACTTCAGATTCTTTCTGGGCCAGCTGGAGTCTTGAGGTAGAGAACTGTGTACATCTGTTGCAAATAAAACCAATTCAGCTTGATCAGAGAAAAAGTTAATGCTAAATAACAAAAATAAATTAAATGTGACAGGATCTCATTCTAAATCTATTTTATTTAAAGGAGTCCAATTTTCTTACATAGTCTATTAAAAACGCAAGTATTCTGATTTAGAAATCCATAAGGTAAGGACTCTTGAGGGGTTTATATAAGAAATATTCAGTTACACGATTAAATATAAAAAGACCTTAGAAATTGATGTTTTAAACAAAATATGAGTCCTTACCTTATGGATTTCTAAATCAGAGTTTTAATAGACTATGTAAGGAAATTGCACTCCTTTAAATAAAATAGACTTAGAATGAGATTCTGTCGCATTTAATTTATTTTTGTTATTTAGCATATTTTATTTGCAATACACCACATTCACAGAGCACCTTAACTCCAGAATGAACTTGTTTATGTAGCATCCCCTGGAGCCCATTTTATTATGTGTTTTATAGAGAAAAGATCTCAATCTTCAAAAATGAGTCCCCAGTACTATCAGTATTTGGCTATATTTTAAAATTAACAACCACATTCTTATTAGTGTTTTAAGTGCATAAATCAATTTTTTATAATTCAATATAACAGAATGATTGGATGTCAGTTGAAAAATTAAGAGCTAATACTGGAGCCTTAATTCAGTCAAAATTCCCATAGACTTTGACAGCAATTGTATTTGTAGACTATAGAATGGGGCCTTACATGTTTCTGTTCTTCAGAATGCAAAATATATTCAGTGCCATTAGCCAAATAAAATGAAATGCACTAATATCCAATAATGAAAAAGTATGTTCAATACTATTTAATTCCACCAAAAAATCATCATAGTGTTATGGTACTGTAAAGTTGTTCTCAGAAAATAAATTTCAGAGGAGTAGCCATGTCAGTATGTTTTAGCAAAAATGAGGAGTCCTGTGGCAGCTTAAAGACCTACAATTTTATTTGGGCATAAGGTTTCATGAAGCATAAGCTTCACGTATCTGACGAAGTGGGCTCTAGCCCATGAAAGCTTATGCTCAAATAAAATTAGCATCATAGAATCATAGAACACTAGAACTGGAAGGGACCTCAAGAGGTCATTGAGTCCAGTCCCCTGCCCTCACGGCAGGACCAAGCACCGTCTAGACCACCGGTCCTCAAACTTTTTGGGCTCCGGAGCCCTTTACATGCATAAAAATTTATGTGGAGCCCCAGCGGTCCACTGATAGTATGTGTTGTACCTATCGATATTTCCAGTTTGTCAACCTTGCGGAGTCCCTGGAAATGTCTTGTGGAGCCCTGGGGCTCCATGGAGCACAGTTTGAGAAACACTGGTCTAGACCATCCCTGATAGATGTCTATCTAACCCACCTCTAAAAATGTCCAGAGATGGAGATTCCATAATCTCCCAAGGCAATTTATTCCAGCGTTTAACTACCCTGACAGTTAGGAAGTTTTTCCTAATGGCCAACCTAAACCTCCCTTGCTGCAGTTTAAGCCCATTCTTTTTTGTCCTATCTTTGTTGTTAGTCTTTAAGGTGCCATAGGACTCCTCATTGTTTTTAGAAAAGAAAGAATTTCTATTGCATAACTATAGGAAAGTTGTATTGTTTAACAAAAACGTTTTTAATTTAAGGTCACAAGTCTGAGCACTGAGCTCTGTGTAGGGCAGAGGTCCAAGCATAAAGAACTCAAGTTTAAGGCCTAAGCATCTGATTCAGCTCCCTCTAAATGGGAATCTTCAAGTATTTTAATGCATATAAACATAAAGTAGGAGATGTTTGACAATTTCTAAGTTTCTTGAACTGTAATGAAAGTAGTAGTTCAAGGACATTTTGTGCTATGAGATTTCTATATTTCATTCATACTGGTGGGCAGTTCTTAAGAAAAGTGGTCTCACTCAAGTCAAGGGGACTATTTGTACGAGAAACTGCTAAACCCAAATGAGTATGGAATTTAGAGTCTGAGTCTTAGTGAGGTATTACTACAATTTATCATTAAACTACTTTTTTTATGAACTTACAATATTATACACAGAGGGCTAATTGATGCTATACTATATATATATATAAAAGCAAGCATGTGCGCCTACCCACTAGAAATCAATCTTAAAATGAATAAAATTAGCAATCTTTTTTATTTGTAGGTTTTGGAGTATCAGTTGAATTACCATTATGATTTCTGTTGAAAGGAGAAGCAGCATCAACAATCACAGTTAAAAGCAACATAGAACAGCTTTGATTACCTTAGCTGACCTGCTGGAGCACTGACAGGTCTGTTTCTCTTGGATGATGATATAAGGCAGAAATTGTTTGTAGTGTTTGATTTGTAGTTGCCTAGGTCTGATATTCTATCACTGCTCTGAACTGATTTTGTTTGATGTGTGGAACAATCACGAAGTCCTGACCTTCTTGATACAACTGCCGATTGCAGACGAATGTTAGGGCCAAACAGAGGCCGTCTAGAGATTTTCTTTCCTTTCGTATTTTTAATTGCCGTTTTTGCATAGGGGGAAATAAATTTTCTGAAAGAAAAATACGGAGGAAAACATATAATTATACCCTCTTATGCCAACCTTTTGTTTAGTTTAAGTAATTCTTGAATCTACGAGGACCTGGGAAATTCTGCTAAATGACAGTCATGGGTAACATAATTTAATGTCAATGTACACTTTAAAAGTGGAAGGAAAAGAAACCAAATCATTAAAACACCAAGAAATTGCCATAATAATTAGTAGATTTTGAAAACTGTGCCAGACAATAAGGAAAATAAGATTTTCAAATGGAGTTTTAGGCAGAAATTCTGCAGGAATTAGGCACCTCAATCCCAACAACTCTTTATCCCAGCCTTAGTTGCTGCAAAAATTAGGTTTTACAAACATTAATGATAGAAATATTCCCTGAAATTACAACCCCCATCCCACCTAATAGACACATTAATCTTTTGTTAAATGAATACATTTTCTCTACAACTTGTGTGACTGAAATATTTCAGAATTATGACGATAAATGAGTATGTGAATGTGAAATTGACTAGAAACCAAAGGCAAAACTGGCAAATTTACTTTTATTGCTTATTTTTTGCATTTATCTGAGTATAGGCAAACAATATAACAGGGAAAACATAAATCATTTAAAAATGTTATTTGAACAAATTAAGATGTTACTAATAACAAAAGTAAATCATATGTTTTTAACCTATTAATGTCCCGTTAAAATAGTTTTCTGGCTATACTAAAAGAAAAATTAGAGACATTTGACATGGGTTTAATCAGATCACAACTTTATTATTAGAGGTCTGGCACTACCCAGCAGATAAAAATATACTGGCTTGGGTGCAGGTGCCCATAGGTTTATTCCAGAACTGTGGCAGCTTTTACCAGCTCCCCATCTTTTTCCTCCCAAGTTCCTCTAGCAACTTTATTGCCAGGGCCTTTTTCCATCCAAGTCCATCTGGCAAATCTATTGCTGGACCTTATCATAGAGGGCTTTCACCATCGGTGGAACCTTGCCATCCACCCCATCACAGGAGACTTAGGGAGGATATAAAATTGGGCGGAGTGGTTAGATCCCTGCTGTACCAATCATAGAAATCCCCAACCACTCCCTATTTGTTCTTTTAATGTTCTTTAAATTTACGTAGCACTATGCTCATAAACATATTGAGATGTGTTTTGAATTCTCATTTGTGAGACGAATAAGACACTAATATCTTGTATGTGTTCATTTTCCTCTAAGGCTATCTTATGGATCATTTGAAAAGTGAAGAATATCTGATTTTCCTTTTTATAATAAAATCTATTCATCCCATTACTTATTACTGAAAAAAATTATTGTTTCTAGTCTTTACTAAAGAGTCAGTCACTTTGTTAGAAGTAATAGAAATGTAGCTGTGTTAGTTTGCTGTAGCTGAAACAAAAAACAGGACTATGTAGCACTTTAAAGACTAACAAGATGGTTTATTAGGTGATGAGCTTTCGTGGGCCAGACCCACTTCTTCAGATCATATAGTGGAAGAAAATTGTCACAACCATATATACCAAAGGATACAATTAAAAAAATGATCACATATGAAAAGGATAAATCAAATTTCAGAACAGAAGGAGGATGCGGGGGGGAAGGTAAATGTCTGTGAGCTAGTGATATTAGAGGTGATAACTGGGGAAGCTATCTTTGTAATGGGTAAGATAATTAGCATCTTTATTCAAACTTAGGTGTAAAGTGTCAAATTTAAGCATGAGTGTTGAATTTTAACATGAATGACAGTTCAGAGGATTCCCTTTCACGTGCAGATGTAAAAGGTCTTTGTAGCAGAATGCAGGTGGCTAAGTCATTTAGAGAGTGTCCTTTCTGGTTAAAATGGCAAGAAACTGTTTTTTCTTTGTGATCTTGTCTGATATCTGTTTTGTGGGCATTAATCCTTTGGCGAAGTGTCTGAGATGTTTGTCCAATGTACATAGCAGACGGACACTTTCGGCACATGATAGCGTAGATTATATTTCTGGATGCGCAGGAATATGTGTTCTTGATCTTATAACTCACTTGGTTAGGTCCAATAATGGTATCAGCAGAATGAATATGTGGACAAAGCTGGCAACGGGGTTTGTTGCAAGGGAAGGTACCAGGGTTGGTATTAGTGTGGTATGTCCTGTGGTTGTTGGTAAGAATCATCTTGAGGTTAGGTGGTTGTCTATAGAAGACTATGGGTCTGTCTCCCAGAGCCTCTCGGAGTTTAGTATCCTGTTCCAGTATAGGCTGTAGTTTATTGATAATGTGTTGGACAGGTTTAAGTTGGGGGCTGTAGGTGATGACAAGTGGTGTTCTATTCTTGGTTTAAGTAAGTAACTGGATTTACTTTTAAAAGATAAACGAACAAGTCACTCATTTATTTAAGCAAAGAATTGTTACGTAATATTTACCACTAATGAGTTCTTAACAATATTTTTCAATGTAGCACATTATAAATGACCTGCTGTGAAGGTATGAGACTAACTTAGTATTTCTGGCCTTTGTATACACTAGTATCTTCTTAAAATGTTCCATAGTTGAACCATCATTTGTACAGTTTCAAAGGTGGACAGAAGTTTAAGAAAATTCTAGTTTGGACACAACCCTAGCTCATAGTCTATTGGAGACCTAATATATCATAGGGTAGAAAAGTTCAGCCTGTAGTGAAAAACTATAGGTTGGACATTCCTGGTCCAGCACACTTGGGACCTGAATGGTCCTAAACAAGGGAGTTTGCTGAACCAAGAGAGGTCAGGCATCTGGGCTCTCCCAGGGTGCTCCCAGTCTCCCGGCCAAGCTCCTCTCCTGGCCACCAGCTCTGCTGCCATCTCTGGCCACTGCGCTCCTGTGCTCCCAGGCGACCAGCCATGCTCCGCTCCTGGCCCACAGGTTGGGCTGTGTTCCTGGTCCCCAGCTTGCTGGTGGGGTTCCTATCCCCAGGTTGCCAGTGGGGCTCCCTGTTCCCAACCCACTAGCTAGGCTCTCTGCCCCCATGCTACTAACGGCACTTGACTCCTGCCCACCAGCTTTGCCAGCTGCCAGCCTACCAAACCTGCTCTATTCCTGACCTGCCAGCTAGAATTCCCTGCCTATAGTCTGCTGATGGGGTTCCATTCCCAGCCACGGGCCCTACGAGCTGCCAGCCTGCCAGAATGATTCTACTGCCAGCCATCGACAATCTATGCTGCTGGAGCTTTCCAGTCCAGAAAGTCCCATACTAGAGTGGTTCACCCTGTACACTATTTTTTTAGAGGCTTTGTCAGGGCTGATCCCCACCCTGGCACTCCAAGTGCAGACGGTGGGGGCCCACAAAGACCTTAAATATCTTTGCTTCTAGCCCTGCTTCTAATACCTCCCAGAGTCACAGATGCCCTGACACTGAGAAAAAACAAACACTGCCACCATCAAGTAATTTACCCTAGAAACAGAGGGGAATACTTGAAATTCTTCCCCAGGGTACCTGAAGTTCTTTTGCCCCTAAGGGTGCATATAGACAGCACCCTTCTGTCGGAATAAGGTACGCAATTTGCATATTGCAAATTGCATAGCTTATTCTGAGTCTAGGTCAAAAGAGCTTATTTTGAAATTTGGCACTGTGTAGACAGCGCCAAATTTCAAAATAATGCACTATTCCGAAAAAATCCCTTAACTCTTCTGGAACGAGGGTTACAGAGATGCCAGAATAGCGCACCCACTGTTTCAGAAAATAGCAGGCACATTAAAAGACATGGAGTTGCTATTTTGGGATACTTCCTAAAGAGCTTGAAAAAAGAAAAGAGAGAAAACAAGCTGCCGTCTTTAGTAGCTAACCATCTAGTCTCAGACAGCCAATTACACACAGACCACTGTTACTTTTCAGGACACAAGAATCAAATTGTCACCTTAAAAAGTTATTTTTATTAACAAAGCAAAAGATATACCTGATAAAGCATATTTGATTGCTAGGTGTTACAGCGCAACTAAGTAAAACATATTAAAACACAAGAAAATCTCTGGGAACAACTCTTAGGCTGTGTCTAAACTACATGGCTCCATCGATGGAGCCATGTAGATTAGGGTTGTAGGCAAAGGCAAATGAAGCCGCGATTTAAATGATCGCGGCTTCATTTAAATTTACATGGCTGCCGCGCTGAGCCGACAAACAGCTAATCAGCTGTTTGTTCGCTCAATGCGCTAGTCTGGATGCTCCCCTGCCGACATCAAAGCCCTTTGTCGGCAGCCCCGGTAAACCTCATCCCACGAGGAATAACGGGGCTGCCGACAAAGGGCTTTGATGTCGGCAGGGGAGCATCCAGACTAGCGCATTGAGCGAACAAACAGCTGATTAGCTGTTTGTCGGCTCAGCGCGGCAGCCATGTAAATTTAAATGAAGCCGCGATCCTTTAAATCGCGGCTTCATTTGCCTTTGCCAAAAAAACAAATCTACATGGCTCCGTCGACAGAGCCATGTAGTCTAGACATACTCGTCGATAGTGAATGGAGGAGGGGAAGCATGGATTCACATAGAGAAGTTTAAACCAAATCCGAAAAATAAAGAAAAATACTGTACAGGCAGTCCCTGGGTTACATGGATCCGACTTACATCGGATCCCTACTTACAAACGGGGTGAGGCAACCCCGCACTAGCTGTTTCCCCCCAGCAGACCAGGGAGACGCAAAGCTAGCACCCCACCCCCAGCAGACCAGAGAGACGCAGAGCGGCTTTTCTCAGCAGATACCTCAGCTTGAGAATAAAGGACTGAGGGAAGTGAGGTGTGGGAGAATAA